TAACTTGAAAAATTGAAGTCAGAATTAGCTTAAAGTTTCTACACAGCATAAGGGCATCAGTATGTACATTTACATGTGCCTATAACTTTACAATAAATTTTAACTATTTTGTATTTTTGTATTTTGACTGGTAAATTAATTATTATTAATAGTTAATTAACAGTCATAGGTCTGAAGTATTAGAACAGGACTGTGAGATGAGTTCTATTCACGGTTTCTTGTGAAAGTTTTCTGAGGAATTTGACGTCAATGAACTAGTACAAAATTCAGTTGAACTGTTCAATAAAATACCACCACACAAGATAGCAAGCACTGGGAATATAAGACTGAATTCAAAGTACATTGATATACATGTACATGTACATATATAATATACATGTACTGGTATGTGCTAATGTACATGTATACAGTATAGTCTCTCTTAATGGACACTCTCTATAGTGTACACCTCCATTTAACGGACAGCACCTAGTGTATCAATTACATTCCTTACTGTATAAAATAAGGTCCACATAAAGGACACCTCTGTATAACAGAGACACTTTCTTGTACCAAAGTGTAGTTTGTATAATTATGTGTTGTCAAAAATACATTTTCAATGGTACAACACTAAAAAAATCAAAAACAGAATCCATACAAGTTTCCCACAAACACCTACACAAACCATCACCATAGCAACAGTTGCCATAAGGGACTGTATTGATGCATATGTACATTGTGATGTTATAGCCATTTTAAGAAATTAGCTAATTTTCAAAAATTTCCCTGTACTAGCTGTAGCCCATGCTTTTTTCCAAAAAATGGCCCTGAAATTATACCAAATTTTTATTACATTTTCTGATACAAATTGATGTCCTTATGCTATGTAGAAAGTATTATGAATCATTGCTAGGTTGATTTCATTTGGATCAATCGTGACCAGAGACACTTTGAGTGGTTCATGGAGCTACTGAATGAACTGGAAATGGAACAGAATGAATATGGAACACTAATGGATCGGTTCCTTGATATGCACATGTACATCACATCAGCTTTACAAAGGACTGGTGTTAAAGCATTAGGACTACAAATGGCTCTTGATCTGATACACAAAGAAAAGAACATTGATCTTATAACTGGACTGAAGACCAGGACACAGACTGGTAGACCTAACTGGGATAAGGTAATATAGGAGAGAGAGGGAGGGAGGGAGAGGGTGAAAGAAGAGAGATATGGTGATACTGTATAACTGATAGTACTGGTAGTCAGGTAGTGTAGTATTACTGGTCTATACTGACAATACTTAATGACTACTATACACCACCAAATGGTACCAATATATATATATAACAACCAACAATATTATAAATAAATAACAAAATACACCTGTATATTACATTCCACCAATATTAGCAGGTGTACATGTACATGTATATGTATAGGATAGGAGTAGTTAGTGTGTGGTTAGTGTCTAATCATTGGTTTACAATATTACACTAGGTCTATATGTTAATGCTGGGGAATAGAATTTAGTTCAACTCTAGCATAAAGCATGAGTCTAAAGGTCAAACCGCCCACACATTTGATTAAAAATTGATGTTACACTGACCTATTGTAATATCCTCTTTAAGTAATAGACTGATACATGTGTATGTATTATTAATTATATTGAGTTGTTGGTTAATGTGTTATTAATAGATATTTTAAAAGCTAAAGGAGAGTGGATATGGACCAGTGACAGTATTCTATTGTGGGTCACCAGTACTGGCTAGAGTATTATCAGTGAA